GGAAGGCGCCAAAAGAAGATCACGTAATGGAAAGTCCTCGAGCCTCGGCCCCTACCCCCTCCCCGGCCCCAGTAGCGACACTTGGTGTGCATGTGGTCTTTGCTAAGTCCCACTATGTTCTGTGTTTGGATCAGGGAGTAATATAATACTCCCTGGTTTGGAGCCATTGGTGTCGAGAAGCATCCAATACAGCCCACACTTGTGAACCCTACACACCCAGTTCATACCGTACTTCCATATTGGGGTCTCTGGTATGGTTGTTGCTCGCAGCTCCTTTATCTATAAATATTGTAGTCGACTAGTCTACCACCAGCTAGTAGTTGTGGATCTGTTGATGCAGAAAATTCACGTGATGTTCGACCGGATCGGCTTGGGAGTAAAAAGGTACATTCTTTGTTGGAATGTCAATGTCAAGTTACAAATTTTAAAAACGTCCAAAGAGAGTTGAGACAGGATGTCCTGCTTTTGATGGGCCCACGTATTCGCCCTGCAAATATCTGAATTCCTGATTGGCCTCATCGAAACCTCTATTGAAACAGGACTATCAGCAATCACTGGACATCAGACAGGTCGAACCTAGGCGATCCCCGTAAGCTGCTACGCACGTATTCGCCCTGCAAATATCTGAATTCCTGATTGGCCTCATCGAAACCCCTATTGAAACAGGACTATCAGCAATCACTGGACATCAACCAGGTCGAACCTAGGCGATCCCCGTAAGCTGCTACGAGAACATGTCGTCCCTCCGTTTGCTACAGGTATGTGCGAATTCTTTCCCATGGCTTTCTCATGCACCTATCCTCTCTTCTTTCTCTTGGCGTTTTCTATGGTGTTATGATGTCTGGATTGCGTGGAAGTCTCTCCTTCTCCCCACCTCTCACTTTCGCGAAATCGCTTGAACAAAGCTTGAAGCTTCGATATAATAATAATAATAATAATAATAAAACTCGTATCCATAATGTCTCTTTCCTTTCTACAATAATAATAATAATAATAATAATAATAGCACATTTCGCGTAGTAGAGCACTAAATAAAGAAATTCAGTGTTTTTTCCGCTTCTGTCTTGTGAGCATCATCAGCTAGGTGTAGTAGCTGCTGATACCGATTTCTCGCCGGGTGTCGAGCTGCACAGTTTCCTCCAGTCTGTTCTTCCAGTCAGGCCAACTCCGAGCTGAACTGAACAAGCGATGCCATACTATAGTGCGTTCCAAAGGATTGACCTCCCTTGACTTTTTCGGGTAATTCAAATTCGGTGTGAGCTCAGGGGTATCACAGGGTGGTTGGAAGTGGTGGTGGTGGTGGGGGTATTTGGGGAGTCCCCTGGAGAAGAAAAAATCGTCTTACCGGATGAGCGCTCGAGCGCTGCCTGGATAAACTCACTGTGAACTCGAAGAAATATTCCGCGCGGAAGCATGAAAAATGTCAACTCACTGACGTCGGTACATGTACGTCTGGTTTACAACAAACGAGTTCTTCCTCGTATCGATATGGAGTGAGAGAGGACATGTCGAAAGTGTGGTAAATTTTGACGAGCGGGATGCGCATACCGGTATGCGTCCCAATGCGTTTTGTGACGAAATAGATTCTTTGAGCTGCCGCGGATGAAATTTACTCTCACGATGTAACGAAAACGGCATCGACACAGACTCATTCCCAAGGCCATGTTGTGGCAAAGCTATCCGTGTGACTTCGACGGCATTTTGAGAAAGCAGACGCCTGTGAAAGCTGATAGAAGACGTCATTGACTCCTAAATTCAAATAAATTGGCGATCTTGAAAAACTAAAATAATTCAGAAACAGAAATCAATCGATTGATGTGCCGTTGTATTCAACAACACATAGCTACAGTGCAATGACTTACATATTCACTCACACCGTTTCAGTGTTGTGTGTGTTCACAACATCACATGGCCTGAGCCAGTCAATTGTCAGTCAGTTCGGCAGGAAACGCGAGCTCAAACAACAAATCGTTTGATGCAGCCACCTTCTTTGTCTTGTACCAGTGCAGCGTGATCACCAAAACAATGAAAAAATGAAGAAAACATGTTTGACTTGAAGATTTGTTGGGATTTGAACTCACAAAATCATGGTCAGCAGACAGCATTCATAACCACAAGGCCAAAAAGGAAGGGATAAATCGTGGGTTTTGATAACAGATCGATACTGGCTTCCAGGGCAAATTATAAACCAGGGAAAAGGACAGAAACCTGGCCGAAATTCTAACTCCTTAACGGTTGGTCCAATCGAAATCTGTTGTACCCAATCTCCCTCTGATGTACCGCTGACTCTACGCTTAAGATCTAAGTATTTTAATTCTCATTATAATTTTCATATTCGCTTTCATGTTATTGGGTTCTATGCCCGTTTGAATTTGCGAATCAAAATAAATACAAACAAAAAACAACAACAAACAATTGTTCCGAAACCTTAACAGAACAATTTGCCTTGCCCTAACAAGCCATTTTATGTACTTTGTTGTCCAATTTTCCCTTTATCCCAAACGTGATTGCTAATCTTTTTGGAACAGACTGAACAGCCGCAAAGGAGGGCTCCCTATAGCCTAGCACTTATTAGACAACTCCAGCTCAAAAAACATTTCTCATGGATTTTTAGTAATTTCTGTTTATCATAGGTAGAAAAAAGGAAGACATTGCCCTTGAAAAATTCGCAAAATCCGAAGTACAAGCGTGCTAGGCTGCACTTTCTAGCATCAGCGTCATGCGTCATGTCCTGCGAAAGTGCACCGCATGCGCTGCATACACTATGTAGACGGCCGACCCGGACCATCGCGAAGTAAAGTTAGCTGTTTAGGATTATGGAGAGAGAAGCAGATCCTATTTTTGTTGAGTGGGATTGGATGATCTGCCAGTGGACCGGAGAGCTACGGAAAGCAGAAGGACTTGCGGAAACTTCTCTGTCTTCGTGGCAACAGGACTTTAGCTTGCGAGAGACTTTCGTCTTGTCGTTGCAGACGCAGTTATTGTTGCTGCTACCAGAAAAATCGTTTGGTGAAGCGGGTCGTGTCGGTGAAGAGCTGCAGAATGTTCTGCAGCTGTGGAGCAGCAGTCCAAACACTTTTCAACTTCGGAGAATGAAGTGCTTCCCTTTTCCATTGACAAGAGCAGTGTTCGTGGGTGTAATGCATTTTGGCATCAGCTTGCAGTAGATCGTCAGGAGCAAGAGGTAGGTTTCGTTGTGGAAAGAGTACTTATAATTGAGCCTCAGGTTGAGAAAAGTGTGCTATTGTAATTTTTGGTCAAATTGAGTCCCACTGATTCGTATGCAGAGAGTCGTGGCATGATTGTCGCTAATGGGAGAACTCAGCCACCTGAAGCTTTCATAAAGGAAGAAGTAGTAGGTGAATGAGTTCGCCAGAAAATGGAATGACAAGAAGGTACTGTTGCATTCGGGCGCTCGTGAGACGACGGCAAGATAGGACTGAAACGATCGACAGTCTGTCTCGACGCAAAATGCCTCGCCAATGCTAAAAAAACTCTTCTAGGAGAAGCTTGATGTGCCATAGAGTTCGCAGCATTCTGCTTCAAGAAGACAAGAGAACTAAACTCAGACTACAGCGTGGAGACGAAGCTAAAGCTAGGCGAGTTAAAAGAAGTGGTGAAACACAGGAAAATGGGTGCGCGACATGATCTAGCTCGAAGCTCGAGCGAAGACACGCGGAAGGCACGTGCGCCTACGGGTAGCGCGGCCAGCTACCATGTTTTCAAAAATGGAGGTCGACGCTTTTGAAATCCGTGTAGACGATGGTGAGGGCTGACCTTTACAGCGCGACAATCTGTACCCTGCTTTCAAGCGCCCTTTTCTCAGTTGTGGACAATAGCACCATTTTCTCAGCCTTAGGCTCAATTATGTTGTAGCTGACAAGTGACATACCAGTGTGCAGTGAAGAACTCGTTTCTGAGCTGATGATCTAGCTTCCGCGCTGCAGCCCTTGCAGCTTGCTGCTCCATTACACTTCACATTTTCTCTCTTCAAAGCTGGTCACTTGCAGTCAAGAGGTAAAGAATGAAAAGAGAAAAAAAGTGTCTCTAGGGGCGTGCTCATACTGTGGTCCAAATCAGCATGTAGGAGGCCAGGCGGGTGCGGGGTGGGCCTATAACGGGTAAAATACGGTATTCGTCTTGTTTCTCTTGTCCATTTGCTGATGTCATAACATCGCCTTCATGCTCCCTATATAAGGATGCTACAGGTTAAGCCTTGTTAGTAGCACATCGGTTACAAGACTACCCTCATTGCTTGACAACCATCCAAAATCCTCTGATGCAAAACAGTTGTACATGCAAGTCCGGATAAGAGATAATTCGTTTCTAGACAAAATTCGTTATAACATCACCTTCAGCTGTCCCACTCAATTCCCTCATTACAAGGCAAAGCAATGGCCATGGATAGCTCGATCGATGTTTCATGTTGTGTTGTACTTTGAAGTATAGGGGTTCAGCTGGAAAACTTGTCAGATAGCGGATTGTCGTGTACAGGTGTTTGGGCTAAATTTAAAATATATCACGTTTCGCATGAGATTCGGCTGGAAGCCGAGTTTTCTGCATCAGTAGAAATGCCACCAAACTCTAGGATCAAGGCGCCGAGGCTAACATAGTCCTATAATGCAGAAGCATCATTTCTGAGGCGGATATAATATGAATGACTTAGAGGGAGTTGTGGTTGCTCGTGACAGTGCTCAGTACCATATACCTGCAAGCTTCACAAATCATTAAAAAAAAATTAGTCAAAAACTCCCAGTAAAACCTAAGTTACAAGCATTTGTGTTGGTTGCGGTCTGGCGGTCGCAACACACAAAAGCACGCCTGCCACGCTAGTCGCAACAGATGTAACGGAGAATCATTCTGGACAGTATTTTGTCATGGTTTGCCATCTAGCACCAAAGAGCCATGTAAGTATCAGGTAAGAAGCATCTCTAGACCAAACACTTCACACAATTTGTAGTGTTTACGACATTATTAGTGAGGACTGGCTAGTCCCGGCCAGAATATCAATGTGCCGCAAAAGGCAAATCCAGCAATGCATGATACACATGCAATGGTGGTACACAGTCAGTAAATTACTCGTAGTATAAAGAGTAAAATGGAAATTAAATTTCAGAGAAGCAAATCTGATTGATTGGGAGAGAACATTTAAGTTCACAGTGGTGGTGGTGCTGGGCAAACTTCATCCTGCCACTGGTCAGCTACATACGGGCGGATTTCCTTGTACAAGTAAGTTTGGCACTCTCTGGACATGCCACCCGGGGGTAGAACATTCGGAAGGCCAGCAGCTTGCACTTGTTCAGCTGTGGTCTTGAGGATGGCAACAGGAGTAAAGTTATCATCCACCAACTTCTTTACATTGACGATGCCAGGTGTTTCACACGAGAACAGGAAATGATGCTGCTTGCTTACTTGCGGGATTGGTCGGAATAAACCCTCAAAGAACGTGTCCCACTCATACAATACTAGGCCAGATCCTGGAATGGTTTGAGCAGCGTTACAAATGCTGCTGCTGTTGACAACATCACACAGCTGACCCATGGTGTAGCAACCTGCTCTCCTGTACCGCTGCTTCAAAAGACCAAACATACAATCCACCAAACAACGTGTGTGACCTGTGATCATGAAGGAGAGAGAGATTTTCTTGTGGAGTCCGGTGAGACATCTCCATGCAAGATAGGCCATGATAGTTTTGTTTTTGTTCTGGCCTGCGCAGTTGTCGGCGTGAAGTACACACTCTTCTTCATGCAGGCCATGTACTTGAAAGTAGTGGTGTAGCAGAGATGCGACGGTGTTCGGATTGTGTGAACGTTTACCATCACAGCCAACTGTGTCTGTCTCATCTAGCAGGTAGTTAATCTGTCATGGTTGGGCCTGACAGCATACACCAAAGACCTTCACTTTCCGAGGGGTTTTGTAATAGAGAGGACCTTCCTGACGTGCTGTATTGGGTAGGAACACGTTTTGCGCGAAATCAAACGTATAATGAACCTTCCTTTTGATTGCCACTCCAGAATCTAGCTCAGCTTTGGCATCCAGTGTGGCCTGCTTGTAATGCTCTCTCTCCCTCTGCGCAGTGTTCACATGGTCTGCCAAATCCTTGCAAGCCTGAAGCTTCTCATTCTCACCGAACGCCGTTGTCACCTTTCGGCGTAGAGCTTCACAGGTTGAACACACATCGGTTCTCGGTGTCATGAACTTTATGCTAGGCAGACACTGGTGCCAAATTGCACGCATGCTGGACGCCGAGATGGTCTTATACCCTAGATTCACACACTGCCAGATACTTAGCGTGAACGGCTTTGTACGTCAAATATGCAGGGAGACACACTGGCGGTGTATCAGCACGACCACGTAACGGCGCTGGATGTGGTATACCGAAGTCCTGAGCGAACGCTGATATAAATTCCACACATCGTTTCACATCGGCGAAATGGAGGGCATTGTGAGGACGGCGATGAGTATTGCCATGTGTCCTGGGCTCAATACCATGCTCCTCAAAGTGCTTGCGCAAGTTGTCCATGCGCTTTGTGCCGATGTTGAATACATGACGGAACGCAGTGACGCACACCGGCAGACCTTGAAACGAGTACACAATTTTTTGTCTTTTCCTCTTCCCAGGCTGGTCAGTGTGGGCAGTGTGCTGCGCAGAGGACGACAAAAGCCCAAGAATGAAAATATCGCTCTCAGGCTTCTCAAGCTCTTGCATCGAAAGAATGGACGCTTGAATGTCAGCAGCGCTAAATTTCTCCAAACAATTCTGTTTGCAACAATCTTTTACAGCAGCTGCAGCAGCGGCTTGAGGCTGAGCATATCCTTGCTGCTCCTCTTCAACAACAGCTTCAGCATCCATGTTCAGGTCCAGAAAATCAGCAGCTAAAGCTGTCGAGTTGTCAGCTCTGTCCAGGAAGTGCTCCAAATTCTCGCTATCATCGTCTTCTTCATCACCATCGCTGACATCAGCAGCAGCGCCAGTAAAGTCATCATCGTCGCCAGCAAGTACAGCAGCTAGTGTCTCATCCACCGTGAACCAACGACGACTGGCCGCCATGTTGAATCTAATAATATCCAATAATCTTTTTTTGAAGACAAGGCTTGAAGCGCATCGAAGGAAAGTCAAACTCAAACTAATGTTTGTTACTTCAAAGCGAGATGAAAAAGCGCTGATCGCTGGGGACTTTCACAGCGTATAGCGTATAGTGTTTAGCGTATAGCATAGTACATTTCGCGTATCCACGTACTTTAGCGTATCCCCGTACGTAAATTCATCATCGTCGCCAGCAAGTACAGCAGCTAGTGTCTCATCCACCGTGAACCAACGACGACTGGCCATGTTGAAGACAAGGCTTGAAGCGCATCGAAGGAGAATCAAACTAAAACTTCAAAGCGCGATGAAAAAGCGCTGATCGAGTGCATGCACCCATCCGTGCTTTGCGCAAGTCGATGAACACCGCCAGCAAGTACAGCAGCTAGTGTCTCATCCACCGTGAAACAACAATGACTGGCCATGTTGAAGACAAGGCTTGAAGCGCATCGAAGGAGAATCAAACTAAAACTTCAAAGCACGATGAAAAAGCACTGATCGAGTGCATGCACCCATCCGTCAAAATCAATGTTGCACGACGATGCGTGGGCCGATTTTTGATCTGTGAAAAGTACATGACAGCTGAGTGTGATGGCTATCTCGGAAGCTAAACGAAATTACACGGAATCGCCAGCTTACTAGTGTAAGCCCGCTTGAAATCTGCGTAAGTTGATCGAAATCGTGAAAATTTGAAGTGCAACTTCAAACGCGTTTTTCTCAGTTCAGTGTGCAGTGAGCTAAGCACCCTTTTCGCGTGCGCTGGCTCGTTCTTAAAAAAATTGAGATGCCTTTTGTCTTCTATGCTGCCGGGATTTATTGACAGATGCATTAAGCCTTTCAGTGCCAGGCCAGATGTACGCTGAAGTCCGGGCCATTTTCATAAAAATCTGATTTTTTTTAAAATTGGTCGTATCAACTCAAACCCACTTGTTGTCCCTCGCTGGCTTAGCTTGTGCTGCTGCGCCCTGCTCAAACTCGACATCGACATCTCCGATATCCTCAGGGTCATCCAAGGCGACCACGGCAGTAGGTACGACATCGACCACTTCCGACTCGTCCGCGAAATTTGTTCCGTCACGATCGCGGACGGCTATGTCTGCATCCGAGTCATCGCCTTCACTTTCGCAGCTCCAGTCATCAATGTCCGAGTCCATAATGGACTGGAGCACCTCTTCAACCGACATGCGGCGACTCATCGTGTCTGAGTGAAATCTAGAGAGACCTAAAGTACGTTCCGTCAATCTAATTGTTTCTGAATCGAAATATCGCCCGAGTGCTCTGAATGTATGCTCCCGTGCCCTTACTTACTCAAACACGGCGAGTGAAGTCTTGTTCAGTAGGGGAAAACCCCTAGTTCCCCCTTGAAGAGCCACAATCGGCCAAGCTAGATTGTAGTGCATGGCCGGTGAGATATAGTAGTGCGCACTACGAGGACGAGATATCTCGTCCTTGGCCAATCGCCTGGGGGTCTGTAGGACGAGTTATCTTGTCCTTGGCACTGAAAGGGTTAAGCCCATGGATCCTTCCAAGAGTGACATGTGAACTGAAACTAGTATTGTTCCCGTAGCTATGCAGAAGACGTTACTTCAGTAATGTATGGCGCTAGCCAGGGTCCACACAGCTTTAATTTGGTATTTGTTTGTTTGTTAGTTTGTGTGTTTGTGTCATGCCTGGCGCTATCCCGTATCTGTCCCGTACCGTACCGTACCATCAAACACAGTTGGCCACAAACAGCTGGCCACAATATTTAAATAGGGCTTTCAAATGCAAGATCAGAACGTGAAGCAACTTGGAAGAATGAGTATGAATGCGAAGTGTATTGGGGAATGCATGTAAGGCGATAGCGCGGGTTCGAATCCCAGGTTACGCCTAAAAAAATAGGAGAAATGAAAAAATTATAACATCCCTATGCTTTCATCAAGGCAAAAAAATCATAGTGTAGGGCCCTGAGCTTCCAAGCTCTCTCGTTAATAATTAGCTTAACTTCGCCACATCAATGTTCTTGTTTATCTTGTATAAACTGGTATTGATTTTTATAATGATTTTCAATAGGTGGTTGTGACTTTCTTGCAACTAATTAGCGTAACATCGCCACTTCAATGTTCTTGTGTGTCTCGTGACAGGTTTTGATTTTTATAACCACCTTTGGGTCTTTGGCTGTGCATCTTGTGGATGCGCATTGGATACTTAATGATGATGATTGGAATAATTGTCCGTGGTATCAGCTATTAAAAATTCAGTCCCACTATGTCCACAATCAAGCGTAAGTTAACTGGGTTACATCAATGATCACTAATATGCAGAGGATGATTCAATGCCCTGCCACTGCCCCAACTTTAGTGCATATTATCTATTCATTTGTGAACAACTCCATCCACGAACAGGCTCTCACCTGCACGACAAGAATAATAAAGAAGTATATTATTAAGAAAGGGTTTGCTCCCCACACCGGAGCTCTTTCTATTCCGCCGACTTTACTTGACACTTGACTGACTCACGACTGCCATCCAGAGCACACGAGAAGTCCATCGAACCTTCGACTCGGCAAACCTGCAAGAAAGCACCACTCCCTGCTCAATACACAGTGTTTCGGAGAATTCACTCCGCATCAGTTGAGTTTGAGTAGGCTGAGGAAGATTGTGCCTGAAGAGCACCACTTATAAATTATAGTGCTCTCCAGGCACAAACATCACCAGGGATACAAACTTACAGAGACGCTCCGTTTCCAGCGCGACAAACACCTCGTGAACACCAGATAGCAGCGTGAGTCAGTGTCACTCCTGGACGGTGAGACAGACGTCGAGGACCCTCGGTCATTCGCAACGCTGTCACCTCCAAACCAACTAGTCGCAAGCCCGTACTGGGCACAACAGTACGAAGTAGTGGTTGCGACTTCGGCGATGATTTGTAAGAAAGGGTTTGCTCCCCACACCGGAGCTCTTTCTATTCCGCCGACTTTACTTGACACTTGACTGACTCACGACTGCCATCCAGAGCACACGAGAAGTCCATCGAACCTTCCATCGAACCTTCGACTCGGCAAACCTGCAAGAAAGCACCACTCCCTGCTCAATACACAGTGTTTCGGAGAATTCACTCCTCATCAGTTGAGCTTGAGTAGGCTGAGGAAGATTGTGCCTGAAGAGCACCACTTATATAGTGTCAGTCAAGTGTCAAGAAAAGTCGGCGGAATAGCGCGAGCTCCGGTGTGGGGAGCAAACCCTTTCTTACAAATCATCGCCGAAGTCGCAACCACTACTTCGAAGTATATTATTATTAAATAAAAGGTGTGTTGTCAACTGATTCAAATATGACTAGGTCCAGGCAAGGATAGGGCCCATGCTAGCCCTTCAAGTTGAGAGAAAATACAATTGCGAATGAAATACACGAATATCACAGCACGAAGGGCATACCAAGTTCGTGATGGAGCTGAAGTCGTACGATAAACAATCAGGTAAGGGCTATGTCTTTACAGAAATGTAGGCTCTCTACAATACCACCATTGAACACCAACACCAGCAGCAGCAATTCCCATTCCACGATATCGCAGTTTCGGTTTGTTCATCTCAGCGCTGGTCGCGTCAGATTCACTCTCGCTCAGATGAGTACTCAGGCGCGAGCTTACGCATGCCGTGATTCTCACGGCCAGGCGAATCAGCTGATCGCAGCTGACGAGTCCTTGTGACAGTCGCTGTCGCCGTGTCGGCAGCAAGAAGGCTTCCTCTCTGTTTGGAGAATTTTGTTTCTTCATTCGTGGACGATATATGGCCCAGAATCTGCGAAAACCAGGCTTAGGGTGAAAATCATTTTTTTGAGAAAATTGATGTTTTGTAAAAAGATTGTGTCGCGTGGACGAGTGCAGTGAAGTGGAACCAAAGAGAATCTCGCTTGTTTGAAGAAGTAGTATTCATGGCAGGAAGGGTTTCAGCAGTCAGGGAAGTCAAAGGGCTTCCGGTAGAATATTCCCTGCTACTCCTCTAGTCACAACGAAGAGTTTTTGAGCTGATCGAACGGATTCCATCTCCTACACTCAGGAATGGCGAAATTTCTGCGCTAGCTGCTGCTTGCGGAAAATGGTGAAGAAATTGTCTCCAGTTAGAGTCGTGATGGCGATAGCGAGGAGAACCTGGACGACATCGATCCAGCCAATCGAAGTACGGAGATACTAGCTGTTTCTGAGCCTCACGCAAAAGGAACACGCGCAGCAGAGCTCATACGTTTGCAGCAAGTTCAGGAGGAAAAAGGCTTCAAACGCAGTGTGAAAACTGTTTTGAATTGATATCCTTGGCGATGAAGTGCTACTGAAGGCCAGGCGAATGAGTGAGCAGATCGAGAGGCCCCCACTCGAGACTTTCCTCGCTGGTCAGCTAGCTGCAAGGGATTGTACAGCGTGCCGGTATTTCACATGCTGGTCAGCACCAAGCAGATACTGCAGCACGCCAGCACACTATGCTCTTACTATGAACAGTGGAACAGTTTGAAAGGCTGTGTTCTTGCTTGTTAGTGAACAGTTGTACTAGATTCACCCGTCAAAAGGTGCCATCTCAACTGGAGTCGGGTTTCCTTGTGGTGTATAGCGCCAGAGCACACCAGTACATGTATTCAGCTCCAGAATGTGCTGAGTGAGGAGCAAACAAAATTCATGCAGAACTGTGCATGGCCAAAACAGCCTGCAGCACCAAGAGGCCACAACAAGCCTGCCCCCCACATGCCTACCTTGTCATGTCACCTAAACAAAAATCATCCACGTCTCTTCCTTCAGTCTGGTGCATCTCTCTTCATTTCTTTCCGATGATAACAATTTTGTGTTTTTTTGGGATTTTTTAACACAATACCCTAGTGTGTTTGAGATAGATTTAATACCACTATTAGTCGACCCACACATGTAATATTTTGTTTCCTGACCTTCCATGCCCAGTAGAAGCTGAAAATGGGAAAAAGTCATTTTGTGAAATTTCACCCTAAGCCTGGTTTTCGCAGATTCTGGGCCATATTTTTGAACTAGCAGGACTCAACGGAGCTCTTTTTCTCAACACACTACACTGCAAAACCTCCTGGGAGATCCAGCCTGGACTGGTGATGTTACTGCTCTCAGAACGCTTGTCAAACACGGCCCCAAGAGATGCACTCGCATTCTCGAAAAGCGTGCATGGCGGATGGTCGTCTTTTCCAATTTCAACAAACTTCAGTCGATCGATACGGCAAAAATTTGTATGGAAAGCATGGTTGTTTTGTACATCGTCAGAAAGCCTTGGACCTCAGCTACGCGTAGAGCGCCATATTAGCTGTCTGCTAGCAACAAGACCCCAAAAAATGAGGGCCAAACGTACCGATACTATAGTATCGATTCGCTTATGGTAGACCAGTAAAGGGTTAAGTTGCTATTCACTATTTAGATGAAAATTCTTTTATTAATGATGTGGAAAAAGTATTGACGTTTCGGGCCAGTCACCCATAGTCACAGCAATGTACAAGGGTCGAACCTGGCCTTTTATAACGAAAGCAAGCGAGATCGTACGTATGTCCATGTGCAAAACAAACGAAACACACAATAGCCGTATGCAATTGAGTGTATGAATTTGCATGTACAACAAACAAGGAGAAGTGTGCTGAAAGAGTGGGTATGCAGCAGCTCACCAGAGAAATTGCAAGAAATGTGTGTACGAAGGTGTATACTCATAACAACCACGCGCTCTCGCTGAGGAGTTGGGAATGGAATAATTTGGAAATACGGCCAAAAGGTCTGTCGCAATATTTAGTTCTGAAGTTTTAATGCACCGTTAGTGGCAGAGCAGAGTGGACACGACAAGTCGGTGAAGAAGGAAGGAGAAAAGCAAGACACATCTGCAACATCTATAGGTTTGATCAACCTGAGCTGAGCTGCTGATACGAAGCATCGACCAAGCAGCCTTGACTGGAGTGAATGCCCCAGCTGGCCTCTCGTTTGTCAGTGGTTGCTACTAGACCTGCTAGTATCACACTCACGACTACAAGTTTCCTGGTGCACATCGATATCGGCATCAGTGGGGCCTCCCGCTGTCGATCCTGTTGACGGGCGGACAGGTCGGTGTGAATCCTGAAGGCAACCGAACCTGTCATGTTGGGGGATCTCGGCGGTGGGTCTCGCCTTGCCTGCACACATGGACATTGCAACAATCATAATAATAAACAACATACATGTTCTTTCCAGTGTCATCATTATTCCGCGTAAGATTTTCATCGCCTGTGTGGTGTGTTCCTCCACCAATGAGCGCATACTATAAATAGTTATCGCTGTTCACACTTAACCATTTAGCAGCTTGCATATGCCATTGTTATTATGTGGAAAATGCGCACTTGCGCCATTTCTTGTGTACAAGAATGACTATTTCTTTACACATTATCATCATTATCATCCTCTACTGTGGAGCTCCGGCAGGGAGCGAAACAGCTGTCTAGAGGCGTGGAACAACATTATCTCTCAACGGAAGTGTCCTTGCTGGTGTCTGTGTGGTTCGGCTGAGAGCGTGTGGTTGTGATGAGTTGGGAATGCAATAATTTGGAAATACGGCCGAAAGCTCGGTCGCAATATTTAATTATTATTATTATAATAAAAAAGGTAAGTATTACATGTAGGTCACAAGTATCCACGCAAACACGCACATCCAGTCAAATAAGGCATCTGTCATCAATTATCCGAACGTTGAGAAGGGACCGAAAACGTTCGGATACTTGATAACAGATGCTTTATTTTATTTTTTAAATGATTGTTATGTCACCCTCCAATGGCACAAGCCAATGCAAAGGAGGGGGCGTTAGCCAGCCATGGCAAGAGAAGAAAAAAGAAAGAAAGAAGGAAAAAACATAAAAATCGGAAGAAAAGAACACATCAGCGGGGTGAAATTTATCACTATGTTGACCATGGTGGAGAGTGGCGAGATAAGCTAGCAAAAGAGGAGATTGAGCCTACAACTTGGCATGACATTTAACATGGTCTATGAACTGTCTAAAATTGGATACTGTCTTCATTTCCATGGGCAGCTTGAGCCAATAAGAATATGCAGAAAAGATAGGGGATGTGGTAAACATAGTTGACAAAGCTCGGGGAAGAACTATGCCATTGCGGGTGTCCCGTACAAAAGTACTTGAAGTAAACCAATTGTACTTGCTGAGATGTTCAGGGACAAAGTATAGAATGTTATATATTAGGGCTGAAACGATCATCCATTTAGCCCAATCGATTACTCTTTATCATAACGATCGATTATTCGATTATAATCTTTA